ATTATACAATTTTTTCTTTTGTTAAATTTATTTAAGAAAAATCCCCATTTAGCGAATTTTTATTTTCCCGGTTTGCCATCCTTTTTATGAACATTTAATTCTAAATATTTTATATAGAAAATGATGTTCTTATAAAATTTAGGAAATGGGGAGTTCAATAGCTAGAAGAGGTCTGTTATTAATATAAAATTGTTCTAAGCACCGTTATTATATATAGAGCTCTATTTGTTAAAAGTTCCATTTTTAATTCGTTTTCACACACCATTGAGATCTTTATGATTATAAATATAACTCAGTTTTGGCACGTTAGTACACAATTTTACATTGAATTTTCTATATATTTGTTGAAATGTTGTTATTTATATATTGTCATTTGGTAATTTATTCAAAGTTTTTTACAGTGCATGTGGAAATTTCTAGCCTCATAAATTCCTTCAAGGAACAGTTTCTTCTGTTATTTGTGAAGGAAGAGTTGTTTTAGGTGTTGTACACAGCACACGTGATGCGATGAGATATAACATCTTATACCAGTTACCCTATCTTCGCTGTTACGTTATATATAGCTTCAATTCGACTGTTCTTTTTCTTTTTTTTTTCTCCTCTCCCTTTTTTGTGCTTATAACGTTTTTCATTAATACCGCTATGACTTAATAACTTATGTTATAATCCGTGTGGTTAAAGAAAAAAAGAATGTCAGTGAGGCTGAACTATAAGAAGTTAATCCTTTGTGAAAAATTATTTGATTAATCATGTTCATATAAATGAATCTACTAATTTAAACGTCCACACAAGATTTAATAAATCGCATTTAAAATTAAAGAATGAGTGATGCATCTAACATTTGTTATATTCGCCCACTGTTATATGGAATCCTCATTCTACCTAACGCAATAGTACAGTTGGGTGAATGCGAGGCTCGAGCTAAAGAACTCCTCCATCCAGGGACCAAGCTAATTAATATACATTTTTACCATGACATGCGGTTACAGGAGCAGCCATAGACAAATGTAACATATATCAATATAGTAAAAATAGTACGCTAATACCTGTCGTTGTGAATGATTATTCCATAGGATTTATTTTTTTAATGTCTTAGCACTATAGATTCTATTCAAAGTTCAACATGCATAGGATGCTGTTTTGTAAGCAGTACTTACTCATTATCCATTCTAATGCTGTTTCTCTGTTGTATTCCTACTTTACCACATCTTCTAATTTAAAAAGTGTATATAATTATTTTATTTTGGGATTTCAATTACAGTGTATTCACAAAGTTACAGTGTTCAGGGAAGCTTTATCTGTAAGTTGATATCTTTGCACATGAGACGATTATACTCAGAATATAGATTAATTTCGTCCAAAGAAGAAAATATATATGTGGCAATCAGGCATTCTAAATGAAGTGAAAATAGAATGTGTGTATCTTCTTAGTAGTTTACTATTCCTTTTACTGTTACTCTTAATGGAAAATATGTCATGACATATATGCTTTCGTAGATGGAATGTCATCATCGTTTAGGCATGATAAAGAAAGAGATTACTAAGCTTTGGGCAGGCGCAATAATTCTTTTTTAGATAAATTTCCATTCCCGATATTAGTGAATGAGCAGATTCTTGTCCTACTTAAAGATTAGACCCTATCGCATGGCCTCATTTGTTGTGTTATCCCGAGAAGTAATTATATAGCAAAAAAGCATTCATCGCTTCTATAATATCTCCTATGGGTATTTTGAAGCCTCGCCTATGAGTGATTTCATTCTGTACACTGCAAAAATATTCACCAGGGAACCTCTAAGACAGATAGATCAATTCATCATTCGGATGAATAATATGTTTTTTAAGATAATTACATTAATTTGGGATATTTTAATTTACAGAAAAAAATGGAGGGATTTTTCAGGCTGTTATTCAGGAGACGTAGTACATACATATAAGGAAAAGAGACAAGGAAATGGTATTGTCATACGGATGGAAAAATGGAATAATTTGAGTGTATAGTTAATAAATAGGCATTTTATTTCATACGGAAAAATATACAATTAGGGAAAAAAAAACTTAGATAATGAAAGGTAGATGTGGGCTACTAAATTTCTATAATTACTTGAGAGGAGAGTGTGTGTTTTTACTTTTGTATATATAAAAATTAAGTGTAAATTCGAAACTATAGATCCAATTTAGGGCTTTTCGGGGACGATGTCGTGTCACTCTAATTTTCGACTACTCCGTTTGAGCATTTAGACCTTATTTGATGAGCAAGAAGTTCAGGCTCGAGCACTTATTTTAATGGTCACGAACTCATAGTACTGTCTATTATAAACATAACAGAATTAATTGCGGTTATAATTGGGAGGAATGATAACAACGGAGGCAACCCTGTTATGAAAATCACACGTAATATACAAATAAACCCGGAGAACAAAAATCTTTGGAACCAGGAATTTTTCTTTTCGAAAAACAAGATAAGAATCGTTCGCATTTGGCCTCACGTTGAACCTCATGATGACCATTCGTAGGTGATTTAATTGTCATTGAAATTTTCGATTCTAATTCCATCGCTCATTCTATTTTTAGCAATAGTTTCTGTAACTGGGTAATGGATTTATATTTTCGTTTTGGCAAAGCGCTGTTCATATAAGGCATGTGGCGTGTTTCGTGCTTTTGGTCCTTTATTACATTTAAAAGACATATCCTATTGGAGCATATTGAGTGGTTCTCTTTTATCATGATTCATACCTTTCAAATCGTCCCTTTGCTTCCCCTCGTAAATGCTTTCGCATTATAATTCATAAGTTGTCTTTTCTTTGTTATTTTTGCTTTTTAACTCCTGAAAATATTCTTCCGAATTCTAGGAATATCAGAATGGATGGGAATCTTCCCAAAGAACATTGTTACTATTGTACATTGCGGAAAACTATTGCTCTTCATAATTATTATTTAGTTCACTGAACTTTTGTCCAAAATGCTTATCTTTTATCAACCTATTGCAGCTTTCTTAGCAGAAATAATTTTGTAGTACTTTATGAACTCGCTATCCAAGTGTATGATTATGTGTTAGATTATTTAGTCTCTCTGCAAATGCGCCCTCATCTTCATCTAACACGATTTTTCTTCTTCTTTGTAAACCTGCATACTTCTGTTCTGTTATTCGATTTTTTTCTCCTCCTCCGGACATTGTGACACATATTCTATGCGATGAGATGTCTATGCCTCTTTTCGCGTTGGGTAACAAACAGAAGGTGATTAATTGAAGAGTAAAGGCCGCACTGAACATGTATGTAGAAGTGTAATTTTTTTTAAATATGAAAAAACTTCGCATTTTTAATTAAAAGTAAGAATAGCAGAAATAGTGATATACAGCAAAAGAGTGCATAATTTTACACGACGTAGAAACAATAACAAGCAATTACATGTACTAGGCATGATAGGAGAAAATTACGTTATACAAACAACAAGAATATTAAGAATGCTTCAATTTCGTAAATAATACGGCTAATTGCGAAGTTAATATTTTTTTAAATAGCAGCAAAATTAATGTTGCCGAGCACATAGAACAAATGTCATAGAGAAGTGTAAGCTCCTGCGGCGGATAAATGGCGTGCTTTAAAAGGGGAGATATGGGTACGTACCTTTGACTTAATGAAGTAAAGTATATCTTATTATAGTGTAGTGAACAGATTAGGGGAAGACGTACTGGGGAAACAGCCTGAGCTGGATGTAGCCGCTGAACTACGCGTCAAAGGCTATGCTTCACGAAGCTATATGTAAGACAAAATATTTCTTAACCTAATCATATGTATATATTGCCATACGCGTCGTATCTATATATTATGCACCCCCATCTGTTCTTATCTGTTTACGTTGCAACATGTAATGCTTAAAACATTACTTTCTTGGTAAACAAGGGGTGTATATTCCTTCTGTGGACATTATACTAATTCATTGACATGGCCATTCATTCCTCTTTATCAATAAAACGTGTATATATCACTTTATTAATTATGGCAGGGTGCCAATTTCATGATATACACATTTTGTGCAGGATAAAACGTGTAAATGACACTTAAATTAAAGGATACTATAAACGAATAAGAGCAGAACGTAAATGAATATCAGCATTAATCTGACAACTCCATAATAGAAGTATTGTTAGGAGATTAGAAAGTGTACTAATGTTGATGTTGTGATTACGTTTTAAGGAAGCGTCGAGTGGCTTTTTCATCAGGAGGAGCACAGAGATAAGTTGCTGGCAAATGTGAGTGTATATACATACTCATATATGAAGATAAACTGCTTCCAATATTCCAGCGAAAACTCTGGAATTGAAGCTTCGCATAACCTCTTGAAGAGAAGGGGTTGTTTAAAGAGCTTGTAAGATGTTCCCGGGGTGCGCAATATCGTATCGCTTGTATACGCTGAAATGATTTATTCTTCTCATCATGCGGAGCTCATTCTTTCACGGCCTCATGAGGTCTTTGGATCATGAGTGTATTAGTCATTTTATGAATACTCTCCTTATTGTTTTTTTTGCCTGATCCTCTTTACAAACGAAGGGTATTTACTTTTAGGGCCTCTAACATGTTGAAATGTTATTAGTACAATAGGAGAAAGGTATCTCTATGAAGCTCACAGATTTGTGCCGATTACCACTCGCTTATAAAAACAGGCCATATGTTATGCAATTCCATAAATGACCTGGCGATA